ATAGATAGATGGATGGATGGATGGATGGATGGATGAATCGGATGGATGGATGGAATGGATGGAGGATGGATGGATGGATGGATGGTTGGATGGATGGATGGATGGATGGTTGGATGGATGGAATGGATGGATGGGTGATGAATTCAGAATGGATGGATAAATAGATAGATAGATAGCGATAGATACCGATAGGATAGATAGATAGATAGATAGAATAGATAGATAGATAGATAGAACAGAATAGATAGATAGATAGATAGATAGATAGATAGATAGAATAGATAGATAGATAGATAGATTAGAATAGATAGACAGATAAGATCGATCGATCGATCGAATAGATCGATCGATAGATAGATAGATAGATAGATAAGATAGATAGATAGATAGATAGATAGATAGATAGATAGATAGATAGATAGATAGATCAGATAGATAGATAGAATAGATAGATATATAAGATAGATAGATAGATAGTAAGAGAGTGAAGGGAACCGGGGAGGAAGAGAGAGGAGGAGATGGCGGGAGAAAGAGAGAGTAGTGAGAGTGATAGAAAGATGGTGACGTGAGTGGCGTAAAACAGTAGCGCGATGTGTTGTTGTTTTTTTTACGCAAATATAAACCATAACATGCCCAAACTACTTTGTCGACTCGTGACATCACGGTAGTGTATTCTTAACTATGCGTGCGAAAGCAGAGGAATGCAGCGCCAATTCGATGATGTAAAAGTGAGAATAACGGTTCGCTATGCGCCGGCAATCGTGGCCACAAGGCGCGACGCTTGCCTGAAGTAAGGGCGGCGAGCGAGCTAATGGCCGTGAGAGCTGCGATGACAGAACTGCAGGTAGGCTATCGCTAAACCATTGTCACATCATCGTTAAACCCATCGGGAAACATCTTTACCTAATCGTAAAACATTCGGTGAAACCATTATTAGATGTAATGGATAAGCCGTTAGTAGTAATCATTGGGTAAACCATCATTTAACCTACTGGTTTAGACCATCGGTAACCATCGCTAGGATTATATCATATATATTATGGGTATGATATATATATATATATATATAATTATATAATAATATATAATGATATACATAATATAATATATAATAATATACATAATTATTATCGTATTATTATTATTGCATTAATTTGTAACGTCATATATAATATTATTTATGACATAAACCGCGATCTTGCTTGTGTTTTGTTTTAAAGTATCAGCTCACAACCAACTTCCATTTTTTAATAAAGCAAGAATTCCTCGATTTTTGGTCGCAGATGATAGTTTTAAGGAACACGTCGGCTAATAATAAACGTATTACAATTTGACTAAATACTAATAATTCAATAGCCAATAACAAATCATAATAGCGAGACAGCGAAGGCAGTGATATCATTATTATTTATATAGCCGTATAATTAGCACAATTTTAGGGTTACCTAAGTACTGAGCAACATTTTGTGACTTAATTCCTTTAAGTAATATAATTAATTTGTTGTCTAGTTTACTTCACCTCTCTCTCACGTGTGGAGGCTAAAACCCCGTGGCATGTATCTCCAAACGCCTGCTGTTGGAAAAATAATAAGCAAACACACTTATATTACAGTTCACGAGTAAAAAATGATTATCGAAAAAATGATCTGCAAGCTCAAATAAGGCGGATAGATACCGAATTCCTCCCCACTTCAGCCCTGTCAGCAACGCCTCGCGTGGCTTTAAAACCCCTAACTTTAGGGTTACTGAAGGCAATTACAGCTTTTATGCTTTGCAGTACACTAACTGTAGGCGTTTTGTGGTTTCGGGGCAGAATTACAGACATTATTGAATAATTATAGACTGTGCGGTCGACTCACAATCGAGTTCATTGATGCTTGTCCTGGCGTTGTCTCTTCCGCTGCTTCGCCGGCACCTGGCAACCTGCATGGTGAGGTGGAATCCTGCATCAGTAGACACATGCGCCAGCAGCGGCAGACATTCTCCTGTAAAGCGTCCTCTTCATGTTGCCCTGAAAGCGGGACACAAGAACGATCGCGTTTATGTGGCGGATAACTTAAATTAAGCGTGAGGCAACGTTGTAAGAAAGCTAAGATACTGACGGAATGGCATGGTATATTAAATGCCCGAAAATGCGCGACACAGGGATTCAAACAATGTTTTTTTCTTTTGGTTATACATTGGGTTGCAAGTGCGCTAACCTATAATTTCAAATACTCAGATGTTATGTTACGGTTCTCAATAATTTAATGTTTGGTGTATGAAAAAATTGTTAAAAAAAAACTCTATAATGCAAAGAATGCATGCCGCTGTGAATACAGCAAGACTTATAGGTTGGTTGTATGTGTGGCGACTGAGTAGGAGATAGAGAGAGAGAGAGAGAGAGAGAGAGAGAGAGAGAGAGCGAGAGAGGAGGGAGAACAGAAAGGAGGGTAGGGAGGGGAGAGGTGGAGAAGGGAGCGATAGGGGGGAGGGCGAAATATAAGAGAAAGGCGGCCGGATATTCTATCTTATCTCTCTCTCTCTGCTCTCTCTCTCTCATCTCTCTCTCTCCTCTTCTCATCTCAGTCCTCTTCTCTCTCAGTCCTCTTCTTCTCTCTCTTTCATCTCTCATCTCTCTCCACTCAATTCCCTATTCATCGTCTAATCCTCGGCTCGTCTATCGTTCCGTTACATCTCTCTCTCTCTATATATATATATATAATATATATATATAATATATAATATATATAGTATAGTATGTATATATATAGGCGATAGACATAGACATACACCAAACACAGAGAAGATGGAAAGGAGAGATGGCGAGAAAAAGGAGATGGAGGAGCGAGATATAGATACGAAAGAGTGAGAGGCGCGGTGGAGGTGTGTGTGCATGTGTGTGTGCACGAGTGAGAAAAAAGGCGCGGAGAGATGAGGCGAGCGAAAGAGGATGAAGCGCGAAAGAAGAGGG